CAATCCAGCAATTTTACTTCTGGGTATGTGTCCGAAAGAATTAAAAGCAAGGTTTCAAAGAGATATTTGTATATCCATGTGCATAGCAGCATTATTCACAATAGCTAAAATGTGGAAGCAACCGAAATGTCCCTAGAGAAGCAAAATGTGGTATACATACAGTGGAATATTATTCAACCTCAAAAAGGAAGGCAATGCTGACCTATGCTACAACACAGGTGAACCTTGAGAACATTATGCTGAGTGAAATAAGCCAGTCACAGTAAGACAAATACTGTAGGATTCCACTTAGATGAGGTACTTACAGTAGTCAAAAATCATAGAGACTTCAAGAAACTAGAATGGTGGCTGCCAGGGGACAGGGGAAGGTGGGGAGTGGAGAGTTAGTGTTTAATGGGCATAGAGTTTCAGTTTTACAAGATGAAGAGTTCTAGGATGAATGGTGCTGTTGGTTGAACAATATTATGAATATATTATATGCTACTGAACTCTACACTTAAAAATGGTTAAGATGGGGCTGGGTGCGGTGGCTCACGCCTGTAATTCCAGCACTTTGGGAGGCCGAGGCGGGTGGATCACCTGTGGTTGGGAGTTCGAGACCAGCCTGACCAACATGGAGAAACCCCATCTCTACTAAAAATACAAAATTAGCCGGGCGTGGTGGCGCAGGCCTGTAATCCCAGTTACTGGGGAGGCTGAGGCAGGAGAATCACTTGAACCCGGGAGGCGGAGGTTGCGATGAGCCGAGATTGTGCCATTGTACTCCAGCCTGGGCAACAACAGTGAAACTCTGGCTCAAAAAAAAAAAAAAAAAATTGGTTAAGATGGTATGCCATGTGTATTTTACCACACACACACCCAGACACACACACAAATTAGGAGCAGAAAAAAAAAAAACCTCATCTAATCTCTGTACTAGTTTCCAAGTAAACATTTCTGTATTAATCAAGATAAATCCAATTCCAGACCTTGATAGTAAGCCTAAACTGTTCTTCCTGGTCAATCTTCATAAAGGTAAAACGGAACAATTAATGCTATGTCTCATTATTATTTTTTTTTTTGAGGCAGGGTCTCACTCTGTCGCCTAGTCCTATGTCTAATTTTTTTTTTTTTTTTTTTGAGGCGGAGTCTCGCTCTGTCGCCCAGGCTGGAGTGCAGTGGCGCGATCTCGGCTCACTGTAAGCTCCGCCTCCCAGGTTCCCGCCATTCTCCTGCCTCAGCCTCCCGAGTAGCTGGGACTACAGGCGCCGCCACCACGCCCAGCTAATTTTTTTGTATTTTTTAGTGGAGACGGGGTTTCATTGTGTTAGCCAGGATGGTCTCGATCTCCTGACCTCGTGATCCGCCAGCCTCGGCCTCCCAAAGTGCTGGGATTACAGGCTTGAGCCACCGCGCCCGGGCCTATGTCTAATTTTTAAAGTACATTTAAAATTAGATTTTGGGCCAGGCATGGTGGCTCATGTCTACTCCCAGCACTTTGGGAGGCCAAGGCGGGAGGATTGCTTGAGTCCAGGTGAGACCAGCCTGGGCAACATAGTAAGACCTCTACATAGTAAGACCTCAACATAGTAAGATCTCTACAAAAATAAATGAAATAAAGTTAGATTTAATTATTATTATTTTTTTGAGACAGAGTCACCCAGCATGATCTCACTGCAGCCTCCACCTCCTGAGTTCAAGTGATTCTCCTGCCTCAGCCTTCCGAATAGCTAGGATTACAGGTGCCTGCCACCAAATCTACCTAGCTTTTGCATTTTCAGTAGAGATGGGGTTTCTCCTTGTTGGCCAGGTTAATCTCAAACTCCTGGCCTAAAGTGATCCCCTGGCCTTGTCCTCCAAAAGTGCTGGGATTACAGGCATGAGCCACCGGGCCTCCTTTTTTTTTTTTTTTTTTTTTTTTTGAGATGGGGTCTTGTTCTGTCGCCCAGGCTGGAGTGCAGTGGTGCGACCACGGCTCATTGCAACCTCTGCCTCCTGGGTTCAGATGTTCCTCCCACCTCAGCCTTGTAAGTAGTTGGGACTACAGGCGTGCACTACCATGCCTGGCTAATTTTTGTATTTTTTGTAGAGGAAGAGTTTTGCCATGTTGGCCAGGCTGGTCTCAAATTCCTGGGCTCATGTGATCCACCAGCCTTGGCATCCCAAAGTGCTGGGGTTAAAGGCAAGAGCCGTAACACCTGACCTAGATTCTAAATTCTTAGAGTACAAGCACCTCATCTTCCTTCCCAAGTCTACATGTAGACATAACTGCTAAGTAGAATGGGGGTCCTAATCACTCCTCCTCCCTCGTTGCAGGCCCCGTGTGACCTGATGCTGTTTCTTCTCCTCTGCTTCAGTATTTGTTCAATCCAGAGGTCCAGGTTGGAAAGCTTCTGGATCTCATTCAGACTAATGCACAAATAATAAAGTATCATCCTCTTCCTACTTTGCATATGCTATTTATTTCCTGTGGAGGTCCTCCACCCACTGCTTGGTGTGTTTCTAGTTCAAATGTCGCCTTCTGGTCCCACAGTTCAACAGAGTTAGGTCCCGCTTCCTCATGCTCTCAGAGCAACTCCTGAATGTTTACAGCACATTTCTCTTCAGAACTCACCAGCGGTACAATTTTAAGTTGTTTTTGTCTGACTCCCACGCTGAACAATGAGATACATGAGGGCAGAGACTATTATTCATCTGTATAATCCCAGCAATTTGCATAGTGTTTGGATATGGCAGACAATCAAAAATGATTTCTTAAATGAATATAACATTATTCTTAGAAGAGGAATTTGCAATTTAAGAAGGTCCTCCATATGATACCCACACAGGGAACCACCTACTTGACTGGCCATCCAGTTTGCCAGTGGGTTCTACAGAAACCAAAGCAAAACAAGAATGAGGTGCACGTGACACGATTACATAAGCAGTGCCCTTAGGGTAGATCATTTTGGTGACTCCAATTAAAGCAAAGAAATAAACGAAGGTCACTTTTTTTTGTGGGGGATGGAGTCTTGCTCTGTCATCCACGCTGAAGTGCAGTGGCATGATCTCGGCTCACTGCAACCTCCGCCTCCTGGGTTCAAGCGATTGTCCTGCCTCAGCCTCCCAAGTTGCTGGGATTACAGACGCCCACCACCACACCCAGCTAATTTTTGTATTTTTAGTATAGACAGGGTTTCACCATGTTGGTTAGGCTGGTCTTGAACTCCTGACCTCAGGTGATCTGCCCGCCTTGGCCTCCCAAAGTGCTGGGATTACAGGCGTGCGCCACCGCGCCCGGTCTAGATGGCTTACTTTTAAGGACATCTGAAGAATGTAGTATGGCAGGGTAAAAAGTCAGCCTCAACTAGGAATCCCTACCCCTATTCATGACACATGTGACTGTAGATAAATTACCCTTTAAGCTTCAACTACTTCATCTGTTAATGGAAATAAACTCCATACGCTGGAGTTGTTACAAGGATATCAAGATGTATATAAATTATTTGTAACTAGCATTTAGTGGGCATTCAGTTTCTTGCATGGAAGTTTCAGGACCCACTCTCATGCTCTATAACTAGTTTCAAACAGATTTCTCCTTCCTTTTCAATGTCATTACAGACTGAACCCCATTTGCTGGGTCCCACAGTTCACTGTCCAGTATGTACCTGCCACACATTTTTTGAACATCTCTTTGAGCGTTGTGGTAGGCACTGGTCTCTCCCTTTCCTTGACTCTCATACCATCTCCTAATTTCTTTTTCACTCTGTCTTTAGTAGTTTTCCTTCTTCTCCCACTTAGCCTCTAGAAAACTTTTTTTTTTGCTCATTAAGCCCACTGAATGCACTTTTCAGGGGCAACAAGTATGTCCCAGAAAGATCAGCACTAACCTTCAATTTACATAGTAATGAAGCCCTCCCACTGCTCCTGTGAAGGCAAAACAAAACAAACAAAACGAAACAAAACAAAACAGACTGGGCTTGGTGGCTCACACCTGTAATCCCAGCACTTTGGGAGGCCGAGGCGAGCGGATCATGAGGTCAGGAGATCGAGACCATCCTGGCTAACACGGTGAAACCCCGTCTCTACTAAAAATTGAAAAAAAAAAAAAAAAAAATCAGCCGGGCGTAGTGGCAGGCACCTGTTGTCCCAGCTACTCGGGAGGCTGAGGCAGGAAAATGGCGTGAACCTGGGAGGCGGAGCTTGCAGTGAACTGAGATTGCGCCACTGCACTCCAGCCTGGTGACAGAGGGAGACTCCGTCTCAAAAAACAAAAGAAAACAAAACAAAACAATCAGGTTCTCAATCAGTCACTTTTTTGTGGTGGGTGGGGGGTGCGGGGTAAAGGCTCTTGCTCTGTCACCCAGGCTGGAGTGCTGTGGTGCGACCACAGTTCACTGCAACCTCTGCCTCCTGGGCTCAAGCGATCTTCTCACCTCAGCCTTCCAAGAAGCTAGGACTACAGGCATGAACTGTGGTGCCCAGCTGATTTTTTTTTTATTTTTAAGCAATTGAGACGGGGTCTTACTATGTTGCCCAGGCTGGTCTCGAAGTCCTGGACTCAAGTGATCCTCCTGCCTTGGCCTCCCAAAGTGTTGGGATTACAGGTGTGAGCCCTGGTGCCTGGCCTCAATCAGCCACTTTTAGTGCACACATAAATATCCTACAAATGAGGCTTTGTGTATGTTGGGTATTCTGGTGACATTCCACACTGTCAGGCAAGTAATTAATTCACTTGCCCAGAGAAGGGCTCTTCTTAGGTGTGTGGCATTTGGCTCCTCAAGTCACCATTCTTTAGCTTTTCAAAAGAGCCAAGGTGAGTCACTAGCTCAGTCAGTGACGCTGCCATTAAACCAGCTCATGTTTTACTGATTAACTGATAAGTGTCTGGGAAACTTGACTACTAAATAAAATATAGAATTACTGGATTTGGCTTTTTTTGAGAAGATACAACAAAGGAAAGTTCCCAAAAAAGAAATGTTCACAATTAAAACAAACGGAAAGTGGAAAAGCTGCCCCAAAGCAAAACCTAGTTCATTTGCTTGGTTCAAACAGCTTTTATTAAGCACATAGATATGCCCTGTACCGTGCCAGATGCTCTCCCGTATCTACAGCTGTTAATCATCAGAACGGCTTTGAGAGGTCATCATTTCTACCTGACAGATGAAGACCCGGAAGCTCAAAAGGTCAAGTGATTTGTCTGTAGCTGCAAATGCTAATAAAGTGACGGAATGAAAACTGGAACCAGATCTGGCTCAAAATCCAGAGTGCCTTCCACTAAACCACAGATACATCTATTCAAATAGCCATATCCCTAACCAGTAACAATGATATCATAATAGTTGTCACCAACATTTATCTAGCTCCTCTCATGTGGCAAGCCCTGTGCTAAGCGACTTACGTATATGATCTCATTTAATCCTCACAATCACCCTATGAGGTAGGTTTATCAAGATCTCCATTTCATAGTTGAAGAAACCAAGTTTCATAAAAGCTCAGTAACTGCTTAGTTCCCACAGCTGGTAAGGAGTAGGACAAGTTTGCACCTAGGTCTATCTAATTCCAGAACCCATTCTCTTAATCATTACACTAGATTGCAGGAAACTCAAACTCTAGTCCTGCTTCTAAAGAGGCAAGTCGTTTGATAGTTTTCTCTCAATTTCCTTGCTAGTTAAATGGGGATATTGTTACTTGTCCCTACCTATTTCACAGAAATATTAGGATTATAAAATGAGAAAGTATATAAGCTTTCAAAAGGGAAATTGCTATATAAATCTAGGTACTGTCTAAAGTTTCACTCAGATCTTCCCTATTCCACAGTCACCAAGGGATTTGGCTGACATCATTAGCTCTCAAACGTCCTCTGAAGTGGAGAGTATTATCTCCACTTATCAAACAGCAAATTACAAAGAGATGGCGTAAAATGCTAGTCAGCAACAGAGATGGGAATAAAACCCAAGATTTCTAACTCCCATTGAATATGTTCTTATGACAGATCTATTTCTGCATTTCTTACTTAACTGTAGAACAGACAAGGGTAGAAATATGACAGTGCCCGCTTCAAAACACACATTAAATACTTACAGAAATTAAATTTTCTACTGCGGTGACACTAATACAATCCCTAAGGTTCTTAATTCTCATATTCTAGAGAAACTGCACAAAGTATCAAAAATAAAAAATTCCCTTTTCCCTAGTACAGACTTCAGCTCTTCAGTTTTCTCAAACAACTTATGGTTACAAAACTAGGTGGGTTACTAACTAGTTTCAACTGGTGAGTCTATAAATTTCCATAAGGAACATAACTCAATGTTAAATTGTTTCCTCATAAAATCAGAAAAAGAGAAGCATCAAACACATTCTCACATCATAAATAGCTAATAGAGCTATATAATTTGAATTGGAAATTATCCTAACAGACCAACTCGCAGTATTCTGAGCTCAAAATTCAAGTTCCAAAGGGAACAGCATAATTAAAACAATAATGAAAACACACATGGCACCTTTATGATCATTCTTCTCCTATTCAGAAATCAAAATAATGTTGTACTTCCCACTCAAGGTCTGCCACAGGCACATAAAAACCTTAAAGTAAAATTAAAAAGTAGTAAAAACAATTCTGTCTTCAATTCTCTGACTTAAATAGGGGATGAATGTTCAGTCCTCTTCCCAGATTATTAGCTCCTGCTAATTTTTGTTTGCTAGAACAATACGATGATCTTTAACAATCATATACTTTGAAATTACCACAGGGACTAAAGAGGAAATTAGAGAAGGAAATTTCCACTCTCAAAATTGAATTAAATCCTAAAGAATGAAGTATTTCATTATTATTCTCTCTGACTGAATCATGGACTTATAAATCAAAAACCTGCCATTTTGTTATAGGGACAAACACGAAGTCACAGAAATCCAAAGAACTGCTCTACTAATGTCAAGAAAATTTGCTTCTTGAGTGGGTCGAGATATCTAAATCCACTCCTAGCCACATAATAAAAGCCCTACCACCTAAACAACGTGCTGTGAGTAGAAAGCAAAAGATGACATAGGACTCCTAGATTTTTCAGAGGTTGTTTGAATACATTAATCTCTTTCGTTTGAGAAAAATCTTTATCTTTATGTCCATAATTGAAACCAATCACTTCTGGTGGGTCAGGGGGTCCTATGGTCTCTGGACCTTTAATGTGGCTAAGAATCCCCCAGGGATGTTAAAATACGGAGCAGGATTCAGAAACTCTGGGTTGCATGCCCAGCAAGCTCGCGGCAGTGTCATTGTCTGATGGACTACACTGAGCAATAGGACTCTAAGGAAGGTTTCCAAATGAAATAACCTCAACCAGATGTTTATTTTCAAAATATACAGCCTACACCAAGTTTATAACGGGAGATAATATTCCAGACCTCAACAAGATACCTGCTCCCCCTCTTCTCATTTTTGTGATTTTTCCCATCTGGTTGCAAACTCAACGTAATACCTTAATGAAGAGCAATTTTCAAGAGTATCTTTTTTGTGCTGACCATTTATTGGGACTTGACTGACCAGGGCTTGCAAGGATGGACACAAAACTTCAAGTCTTTCATAATGAAAGTATTGATTCAAAATAAATATTCTAAAAATTATGTCAAACACTAATGAATAAGTGACATTTACCAATAGTTTATAAGAGAATCGTTTTGGATGAACAATTTTCATTTCGCAAAATAAATCACTCATATCCTAAAAAGACACCTCTCCTTAAGCAGGAAAACAAAAGCCCAACAAAAATCAAGTCATGCCCGTGGCACAGCCTTAATGTTAGTTTTAGGGAGGAAAACGCCAACACTGAGACATACAAAAGTATTTGAGGAGAATTACACGTTATTAAATTTGTCCTAGAACCTGGGGGAGTTCAGGGAAAGAAAACAGCTGGTATATTTAAGAAAAATTTAAATAGAAAATATTACACATGAGAGCAAAATAGTCCATTTCTCTTAAGAAAACCAATAAACACAAACTTTCATTTTTAGGTTTTCAACAATGTTTTTTTCATATTAGTCCAACTGCCACCAGTCAGCATGACAATTAAGGTGACAACAGGTCCAGTTTGCCATACTCCCTGTACACCCTTGGATGCTTTTCAAGCCAAAGAGGGTAACATTTGTGGTGGGAGGAGCCAGAGTCAAAGGAGAATCATTTCTCTTCACTCACGAGGAAACCTCCCTCTTGAGCATCTTCGGAATTTTTCATGGGAAGGCATCTCAGTGTGTGTGTGCACGCTTTAGCCCCATAACTGTGAAGGTGGCAGCTGTCAGTTTCTCATAAACAAGGAACATGAGAGCAGCAGTGAGGACTGTCTGCAGCAGTTTGGCTTCCAGGCCTTTGTAGAGTCCCAGTATTCCAAAACGCCTAAAGGGAAAGAGGTTTGAAAAAACAGAAGTCAGCTCCTGCATCAGAGAACATGCTGCCTAGATAGCTACAGCACTTTGATGAGAACAAGCAGTGGAGGTTTTAGATTCAGCACAGACTTCTGCTGTCAAAGTACTTCTTACCTTTAAAGGTATTTGGGGACTGATGAAAGTTTAGTATTCATGAACCACTAATACTTTGTCTTTATAGTCACCATTAATTAGCAGAATGTTGACAGTATCCCACTGAGGATGCAGATCCTGAAACCTCCTGAAACCATCTTAATGGCAAAATCTGTGATCTAACTAAGAACTTCTGGATCTTCACTTTAATGCTAATTCAGTTATTTCAACTTAGTCCCTAAATGGCAGGACAGCTACCAATATGTTTAGATCATTTCAGCTCAATATAACGAAAGAGAAAAATGAAAAGCTACCTGATTCTCAAACTTCCCATACATTTCATCCTCTCACTCGGTGGTTTTCAAATTTAGCAGGCATCCAAATCACCTGAAAGGCTTCTTAAAACATACATCGCTGGGTCAATTCCCAGAGTTTCTGATTGACTAAGTTTGGGAAGAAATTCAAGAATTTGCATTTCTTCTTTTTACTAGAGACAGGGTCTCACTATGTTGCCCATGCTGGTCTCCGACTCCTACGTTCACGTGATCCTCCAAGCCTCGGCCTCCCAGAGTGTTGGGATTACAGGCGTGAGCCATTGCACCCAGCCCAAGAATGTGCATTTCTCACAAGCTCCCAGATGAGGAAGAGGAGGATGCCAGTCACCCAGGCTGGAGTGCAGTGGCGAGATCTTGGCTCACTGCAACCTCCGCCTCCTGGGTTCAAGCCATTCTCCTGCCTCAGCCTCCCGAGTAGCTGGGACTAAAGGCATGCGCCACCACACCTGGGTAATTTATTTTTATTTATTTATTTTTTTGAGACGGAGTTTCGCTCTATCGCCCAGGCTGGAGTGCAGTGGTGTGATCTGCGCTCACTGCAAGCTCCGCCTCCTGGGTTCACACCATTCTCCTGCCTCAGCCTCCCAAGTAGCTGGGACTACAGGCGCCCACTACCACACCTGGCTATTTTTTTGTATTTTTAGTAGAGACGGGTTTCACCACGTTAGCCAGGATGGTCTCGATCTCCTGACCTTGTGATCCACCCATCTCGGCCTCCCAAAGTTCTGGGATTACAGGCGTGAGCCACCGCGCCCGGCCTTTTTTTTGTATTTTTACTGGAGACGGGGTTTCATCATGTTAGCCAGGATGGTCTTGATCTCCTGACCTCGTGATCTGCTCGCCTCGGCCTCCCAAAGTGCTGGGATTACAGGTGTGAGCCACCGCACCCAGCCACAGATTTTGGTTCTTACAAATAATGTCGTAAATTTGGAAGCAATCTACATGTCCATCAACAGATAAATGGATAAAGAAAATGTGGTACTTATATAAAATGCAGTACTATTCGGCCGTCAAAAAGAATGAGAGCTTGTCATTTGTAACAACATGGATGGAACTGGAGGTCATTCTGCTAAGTGAAACAAACCAGGCACAGAAAGACAAATATCGCATGTTCTCACTTATTTGTGGGACCTAAAAATCAAAACAATTGAACTCATGGAGATAAAGAGTAGAAGGATGGTTCCCAGAGACTACTGGGAAGAGTAGTGTCGGGCGGAAGGCGGGGATGGTTAATGAGTACAAAAATAGAGAGTTTGAATAAGACCTTGTATTTGCTAGCACAACAGGTGACTAGAGTCAATAATAATTTAATTGTACATTTAAAAATAACTAAAAGAGTATAATAGGACGGTTTGTAACAAAAAGAATAAATGTTTGAGAGGATACATACCCCATTTTCCATGATGTGATTATTATGCTTTGCATGCCAGTATCAAAACATCTCACGTACCTCAAAAATATACACCTGCTATGTACCCACAAAAATCAAAAATTAAAAAATAATAAAAAAAAAAGCCATTAATAACATCTGTATACAAGCTTTTGTGTAGACATATGCTTTCATTTCTCTTGGGTAAATACCCTGAAGTGGATGGCTGGGTCCTATAATAGGTGTGGTACATATAAATTTTTTAAAGAAAATGCCAAATTGCCTTCCAAAGCAGCTGTACCATTCTATATTCCCACCAGGAGCATGAGAAAGTAAGTTCTGTGGCCGGGCGCGGTGGCTCACGCCTGTAATCCCAGCACTTTGGGAGGCCGAGGCGGGCGGATCACAAGGTCAGGAGATCGAGACCACGGTGAAACCCCGTCTCTACTAAAAATACAAAAAATTAGCCGGGCGCGGTTGTGGGCGCCTGTAGTCCCAGCTACTCGGGAGGCTGAGGCAGGAGAATGGCGTGAACCCGGGAGGCGGAGCTTGCAGTGAGCCGAGATCGCGCCACTGCACTCCAGCCTGGGCGACAGAGCGAGACTCCGTCTCAAAAAAAAAAAAAAAAAAAAAAAAAAAGAAAGTAAGTTCTGGCTGCTCCAACATCCCTCCCAATACTTGATATAGTAAGTATTTATTTTTTACTTTATACCTATTCTTTGTCTTTTATTGTATTTTATTTTTTGATAGAAGGTCTCACTCTGCTGCTCAGGCTAGAGTGCAGTGGCACAATCACGATTCACTGCAGCCTCAACCTCCTGGGTTCCAGCAATCCTTCCATCTCAGCCTCCTGGGCAGCTGGGACTACAGGTACGCACCAGCACGCCTAGCTAATTTTATATTTGTGTTGAGACAGGGTCTCACTATGTTGTCCAGGCTGTTATCAAACTCCTGAGTTAAAGCAATCTGCCTGCCTCGGACTCCCAAAGTGCTGGGATTATAGATGTGTGCCACCATGCCAGCCTAATTTTATCGTTTAGTCCCTTGAATGTTCTTTTTTTTTTTTTTTTTGAGGCAAGGTCTTGCCTCTATAGCCCAGGCTGGAGTACAGTGGTGCCATCATAACCCAGCATAGCCTCGATCTGTCGGGCTCAAGTGAATCTCCTGCCTCAGCCTCATGTGTAGCTGTGATTACACATGTGTGCCACATGCTTGGCTAATTTTGTAAATATTTTTTGTAGAGACAGGATCTCACTACTTTGCCCAGGCTGGTCTTGAACTCCTGGCCTCAAGTCATCCTCCTGTCTCAGCGTCACAAAGTGTTGGGATTACAGGCATGAGCCACTGTGCCCAGCTGCACATTTTATTTTAATAACAAATTTATTTTCAAAATATCTTGTATCTAGGAACACTAATAAAGTTATAAGAGCTTCTGCTTCAAAGGAGGTCCCTGACATACCTGACTTCACTAAGTGTCAGTTTCTTTAAATGAAACAGGAAATGGCAATAGTTCTTAACTCACAGAGCTACTGTTAGGATTGCGATTACCTACGTGTAGCCTCTAGCTCAGTGTCTGCCACACAGCAATCCAATGAAAATGTTAGCTACCCTTACCATCATCATCATCATCACTATTATTACTTTTTCCACTGCCCCCTCCCTTCTCCAGTACTCCTATTCTATAGGCAGATGTAACATTGCTAAGAGGGGTCATAGGATATGCCACTGATGAAAGCACCACTCAGGGTGACTGGAGTATAGAAGGGTTCTCTTTCTGAAGGAGTTCTGTATATTTGCGTTTTTTGTTTTTTTTTTTTGAGACGGAGTCTCGCTCTGTCGCCCAGGCTGGAGTGCAGTGGCCGGATCTCAGCTCACTGCAAGCTCCGCCTCCCAGGTTTACGCCATTCTCCTGCCTCAGCCTCCCGAGTAGCTGGGACTACAGGCACCTGCCACCTCGCCCGGCTAGTTTTTTGTATTTTTTAGTAGAGACGGGGTTTCACCGGGTTAGCCAGGATGGTCTTTATCTCCTGACCTCGTGATCCGCCCGTCTCGGCCTCCCAAAGTGCTGGGATTACAGGCTTGAGCCACCGCGCCCGGCCAGGAGTTCTGTATATTTGTAACTAACAAAGAATAACAACCTGAACTTTTCCATAATTTCCCAAAATACTGTCATACTGTACTAGGCTCCTAAAATGGGAAACGTCTAAGCACAGCAAGCAAGGGAAAGGTTTTGGACCGAGGCAGTAGTGTGAGAGAGGGAAATGCCGTCCCTGGCAGAGACGGCTGCTGAAGGAGAGCACGGGATGCGAGGCATCTGCAAAGCTCACCTTACTCGTTGGTGAAGAAGATAGAGAATATTCCGAAGACTTCCCAATGTTCTGTTTTCTGGGTTTAGTCTATGACGCCCAAACTGAGGAAAGAGGGAAAAAAAAGTAAGTACTGTTGCTGTTTTTAAAAATCTTCATTACTACCTGGAGAGGATATTATGTTGGAGCAGTATCTTATAGCATACATTAATAAATTTATCCAGTTAGTACCATAGATTTCTTTTTTTTTTTTTTTTTTTTGAGACTGAGTCTCGCTCTGCTGCCCAGGCTGGAGTGCAGTGGCCGGATCTCAGCTCACTGCAAGCTCCGCCTCCCGGGTTCACGCCATTCTCCTGCCTCAGCCTCCCGAGTAGCTGGGACTACAGGCGCCGCCACCACGCCCGGCTAGTTTTTTGTATTTTTTAGTAGAGACGGGGTTTCACCGTGTTAGCCAGGATGGCCTCGATCTCCTGACCTCGTGATCCGCCCGTCTCGGCCTCCCAAAGTGCTGGAATCACAGGCTTGAGCCACCGCGCCCGGCCAGTACCATAGATTTCATTAAACCTGTATTTTTCAACTGAGTGAAATATTTCAATTAAATAAGCGAAAATAAGAAAAATTTTTCTTTTCTTTTCTTTTTTTTTTTTTGAGACATCTTCTCACTCTGCCACCCAGGCTAGAGTGCAGTGGCGCAATTTTGGCTCCACCTCCCAGGTTTAAGCAATTCTCCTGCCTCAGCTTCCCGAGTAGTTGGGATTATAGACATGTACCACCACGCCTGGTTAATTTTTGTATTTTTAGTAGAGACGTGGTTTCACCATGTTAGCTAGGCTGGTCTCAAATTTCTGACCTCAAATGATCCATCAGCCTTGGCCTCCCAAAGTGCTGGGATTACAGGCGTGAGCTACCATGTCCGACCTAAGAAAAAGTTTTCAATGAAGCAAGCATAGTAATTTTCATTTTATAGAAATGTATAGGAAAACTCTACCTCAAAATAAAAAAATATGCCCAGGATGATGATTTAGATATTGATGGTAGTAACTTCCACTTCTTTAGGAAATTCTGAGAAACGAATCATTTAGGACCTCTGCAGTCTAAGCTCTTCACATTATGTGTTTACATTATAAAAGTGTTAAAATACATTTACAAGGATGCTACTGAATTCCCTTATATTAAGTACCAATTTTAAAATAATACATTAGTAAAAATGCTTTTAACAGAAATTACTAATTTTTCTGAACTGGAATACTCTCACTAACACCCCTATTTTATCTAGCAACAAGCCTTTTGAAATTTTTCTCCAAAACAGATCTTGCATCTGTCCTTATCCTATTCCTCTCCTCTTTAGTGCTGCCACCATGGTCCAGGCCACCATCCTCTCTCGCCTGTATTACTGAAATGGCCTCCTACTAGATTGCCCCTGGCTTTCTCTCTTAGCTTTCTGACCAGTTCACCACATCATAGCCACAACAATCTTCTCCAATTGTAAATCACAGCACATATTCTCCAGCTTAAAGCCCTTCCCATCACATATTCTCAGCTTCCAGTGCTGAGGATAAAAAATCCACATTCCTCACCTACGGTTTCCCTGCTACTCTTGTAATCTCACCCTGAGCCACTCTACTGCCATAGAGGCCTTCTTTCAGTCCCTAGGATGCACCAAATTCTTAGTACATTGATATGGTTTGGCTGTGTCCCCATCCAAATCTCACCTTGAATTGTAATAATCCCCACATGTCAAGGGCAGGGCCAGGTGGAGATAACTGAATTATGGGGGCGGTTTCCCCTATACTGTTCTTGTGGTAGTAAGTCTCACGAGATCTGATGGTTTTATAGGAGGAGTTCCCCCTGCACTTGTCCGTGCTGCAGCCATGTGAAGAAGGACATGTTTGCTTCCCCTTCTGCCATGATTGTAAGTTTCCTGAGGCCTCCCAGCCATGCTGAAACGTGAGTCAATTAAATCTCTTTCCTTTACAAATTACCCAGTCTCAGGCAGTCCTTTAGAGCAGCATGAGAAAAGACTAATACACACATCATGCTCCCCCTGCCTGGAATGCACTTTCCTCCACTGTGCCTGGCTAGGGCCTTACCCTCCTTTGCATCTTGATTTAAACATCCCTTCTCAAAGAAGCCCACCTCCAATCATGCTATCTAAGAAGATCCCCACCATGCCCCTCTCCAGTAAATAATTTCCTTTATAGCTCTTTTTTCAATTTGTAATTACCTATTTATTTTGCTTGTTTACCTGTTCATTCTAACTTCCACTAGCTCCATGAGGACAGGGATTATGACTTTTATTTACCACTGCATGCCCAGTTCCTCCCACAGTGTAGATGCTTAGTAAATATTTGAACAGATAAATAACTGAATGAATTAAAAAACAGAAATTTGAGAGTGCTTCAGAAAAGCTAAATCATTCATTCTTCCTGAGTGAACTAAAGGAATCAGCCTCTGACTTTGTAAAGGATAATCCCCCCTGGGGCACCAAACCAATAAACTTGAATGAGAAGGAAGCAAAGTTATGCTTTCCTGAGGTCTTTAAAGAACTTGTCTCCACATTTGTGTTTTCTGAGACATTATGTTACCTAAGAAATCACAAATGCAAACTTCATTCTAAACCAATGACAGCCAGCCTAGTTAAGCAGAATATCAAATAAAAAAATGGGGGCCAGGCACAATGGTTCATGCCTATAATCCCAGCACTTTGGAAGGCCAAGGCAGGAGGATCGCTTTAGTCCAGGACTTTGAGACAAGCCTGGAAAACATGGTGAGACCTCATCTTCAGAAAAAAAAAAATTTTAATTAGCTGGACAAGGTGGTGTATGCCTGTAGTCTCAGCTACTTGGGCGGCTGAGGCAGGAGGACTGCTTGTGCCTAGGAGGTCGAGGCTATAGAGACCCATGTCGCACCACAGTACTCCAGCATGGGTGACAGAGGGAGATCCTGTCTCAAAAAAAGAAAAGAAAAGAAAAGAAAAATAAATGGATAAGGAATACTCTGGCATACCAACTAACTGCTTTATTGCTTTATTAACACTGTTTTAAATCAAGAGACCACATATATTAGAATGCTGTTTGACTAGATGCGAAAAGAACTCCAGCACTCACCCTCAGAATTGACTGTACCGTCTGCATGGGATAGGTGAGCGTGGTGGCAATCGCTTTGGCTACTGCACCAATGATGAACACATCCAAGGAAGAAAGCTGGAAAGCAAAGAAAGAACAAACCATATCAATCAAGTCAACAAGAAGGTGTCAGAGAGAATTATTTTACTGCTTTCAAAATCAGGGATTACCTTCATCCGTTTCTTTAAAAGCTGCCGTTTTAAACCTTCATAGAACATGAACTGGATGGCAGGATTGAAGACCAACAGCAATGAGGGAAATGTGCCATTCCATAAAGCCGAGATTCCTTCATCTCGAATGATCTGATGAAAAGCATCTAAACAAGAAATCAGGGACTTTTGAAAAGCATGATGACAACCCCCTAACTAGAGAAGACAACGTGAATTCCATTCAAATGTACCCAGAACACAAACCATACTGGTTCTATAAAGATTTCCTTCTGGCAGCTGGGTACAATGGCTCATGCCTATAGTCCCAGCACTTTGGGAAGCTGAGGCGGGTGGATCACGAGGTCAGGAGTTCGAGACCAGCCTGGCCAGCATGGTGAAACCCTGTCTCTACTAAAAATACAAAAATCAGCTAGGTGTGGTGGCACGCGCCTGTAATCCCAGCTACTTGGGAGGCTGAGGCAGGAGAATTGCTTGAACCCGCGAGGCAGAGGTTGCAGTGAGTCAAGATTGTACCACTGCACTCCAGCCTGGGTGACAGAGCAAGACTCCGTTTCAAAAAAAAAAAAAAAAAAAACAACAAAACAAGATGTATTTCTTGCAATGATAGTTTGGGGGCAAGTTTATCAGTTAATTACTTTTTGATAATCAGACACTGACAGTCACCAAGTTATTGAGAGACCAACTTCAATCACAGGCAACTGTTCCTGACGATCCGGAGTTAGAACGTCCAATTCTCCTAAGTCATTATCAGCATCACTGGGAATTCTGGATTACACAAAACTGTGAAGTGAGCCCACATCTTTCACAAAAAAGTCCAGTACAAGAAAAGATAGGCCGGGCGCGGTGGCTCAAGCCTGTAATCCCAGCACTCTGGGAGGCCGAGGCGGGCGGATCACGAGGTCAGGAGATCGAGACCATCCTGGCTAACACGGTGAAACCCCGTCTCTACTAAAAAAAAATACAAAAAACTAGCCGGGCGAGGTGGCGGGCGCCTGTAGTCCCAGCTATTCGGGAGGCTGAGGCAGGAGAATGGCGTAAACCCGGGAGGCGGAGCTTGCAGTGAGCTGAGATCCGGCCACTGCACTCCAGCCCGGGCGACAGAGCGAGACTCCGTCTCAAAAAAAAAAAAAAAAAAAAAAAAGAAAAGAAAAGATAAGATCGTTTCCTGGAGTTTATTATACAGGATTTGACTTTTAAAAACCACTATTTCACTACAAAGATTGATGTATGGGAAAGGAGAACCTGGCAGTGTCGTACTATTGAAAGGCAGAAGCTCAAAGATACCAGATACCAATCTGGTGTCTATCCAAAGACAACACTAGAATAAAAAAGTATAGATTATTCTTCAAAAATATTCATCCCCTCCCACTGATACTCCTTGGGAGCAGCATAATTCTCTACCCCTGGTCTTGGGTTTGGCTATGTGATGTGCTTTGGCCACTGGGATGTCAGCAGACAAGGTGCCAACAGGGTTGAAAGGTGTTTATACTGTTGGGTGTGTTCTCTTGGACCTTTTGCCATCACAATGAGAAGAATATGCTCATGCTCGTCCCAGAAAGAGGAGAGACATGTGAACTGAGACTGTTAGGCTAGGCTCAGCCTAGATGAGCCAAATCCACGTCAATCCACAGACACATGTGTTAAAAAAAAATGTTATTGATGAATGCCGAGATTTGAGGTTGTCTGTTATGTAGCTATTTTTTAAAAAAATTATACTTTAAGTTCTAGGGTACATGTGCACAACATGCAGGTTTGTTACATACAGATACATGTGCCATATTGGCATGCTGCACCCATTAACTCGTCATTTACATTAGGTAAAAGCAATGGAAACAAAAACCAAAATAGACAAATGGGATCTAATTAAACTAAAGAGCTTCTGCACAGCAAAAGAAACTACCATCAGCGTGAACAGGCAACCTATAGAATGGGAGAAAATTTTTGCAATCTACCCATGTGACAAAGGGCTAATATCCAGAATCTACAGAGAACTTAAACAAATTTACAAGAAAAAAAATCAAACATCCCATCAAAAAGCGGGCAAAGGATACGTTATGTAGCTTTATGTGGCAACATATTCCAGATACAAAGAAGAAAGAAAACCCTGAAATAGAAATTCTGTGAAGAGATACTTACCAATGATACCTTTGTAGTTCGTTGGTACAATGTCTTCATTCCTGAATTTTGCCCCTTGCAGCTTCAGTCTGGTGTTTACCACCCAGAGTGGAGTTGTTAGCAACACGTTAACTACTCCTTTAAAAAAGAAAGATGGAGAGAAAAAGGGAAAGCAAAATGTCAGCTTTTAAGCTTTGCTGTTTTAAAGCTACATACTAATATTCCATTTATATCTCTGTCACTGACCTCTTAGGAGACCTAAGGTAAGGTGTTTCTTTGTGCCAGGGTACAACACAAGCCACTACTGTTAGAAGCGATTTGGAAGCTTTGCTGAGAGCAAAATGGCTGGCAGCAGCACCTCTCCAGATGAAGAGCAACAAGTTCCCTCATTTGTACAATAGGCAATCTATATGTCAATTTACATACCATTCAAAGTAGCAATTGCGATATAGTCATAGCTTTAAATATAATTTTAACATAACAGCTTTAGAGATGGGAGTGGCTTATACCTAACATGCTAAGTCCATAACAATATCAGATAAAACACACAATTTACAACTCTTAAGTAGCTCACATGGTTTGAAGTGAGTATGGATCTGGTACAATGAGTGACAGGGGTGGGACAGGAAGTGGTGACGTTTAAAAATGCCTTCACAGAGACAGCTCACTGAAGAGTTCCTCATTGCTTAGAGAATTAGGATAGGCAGGCAGCAAGCATCAGTTAAGTGTCACAAAACACCTGAAACAGCTTCACAAGCATCATGATCCTTACAAGCTTAAAGATGGGGATCTTGGCCCCCCAAGGTTGCCTCAGAGTAGAACAATACAATGAGCCAGGTGCTTCTTTTTTGAAAACACATGATCCCAATTTAACACCATCTTGAGATATTAAAATATTCCTCACCAGTCCTGAAATGATTAAAAAAAAATACCAGATAGAATTGTAACAAAGTGCCTGACACATGGTATATACTTTATAAATAAATATTTGTTAAATAAATAGTGGAACAAATGAAGCAATGAACAAACTCAGTAAAAAAGTGCACATCCAGCTCTCTGGCTCTATTCAAGATCTGAAGAATCAAGAGAAAAAAATCCTAAGGAAGAGAAGTCTTTTACTAAAATTCATTTAAAGACAATTGAAGAAATAAAGTTTTGATTTAAGAGTCTCAAAATATTATATATAGGAAATGCAGTCTAACCAAGGATAAACTTGACAAAACAGCCAAGAGATTCAAATTCAATGTTTTCATTGGTTGCATACAGTTGTTAAAGATATTTTGCTGCCTGTCTCTAAGGAGCATTATGAGAGCACATTTCTCAAAATAAAAGATATCACCTAATAATTTTATCAGTCATATTTGTCATATTTTTATAGATTCACAGAACATTAAGAAGTCATCTTTAGTTATAACTTAAAATATTCATACATTGTCTAATACATACATAATCTAAAAATCCCTTAGTTACAGAGTCTTGCTAGTCTCATTTTTTCAAAAGCACCCATGCCCCAGAGGCCATTATAGAAGGATATTAACACATTCCTATTTGCCTAGATTTTAGAACATATTCCTATTCAATGCAATGCACACTTCACTTAACAGAGAAAAACTAACAGTCAGGAAAACCAGACTAGAAAGTGCTACTGAGCAGTCTACTACATTTGTTTTAAGAGAAAAGGAGGACAGGAGAGCTCAGGAGCAGAGATTACAAGCTTCTACAGATACAGTAGAAAGGCAAAGTGCACCCACCTTTCTAAACAAGTGAAATATGCTGCCTGTTAAATAAATTCTTTAGAAATCAAAATTTTCTTCATTTAAGAGGTAGGCACATACAAAAACACTTAGGGGGCAATGCAACTAAGATAAAGATCTAACCATTCTTTAAAATTCTGCTTTCACACCCAGTGTGGTGGCTCATGCCTGTAATCTAAACACTTTGAGAGGCCCATGTGGGAGGATCACTTGAGCCCAGGAGTTCAATAGCAGCCTGGGCAACAGAGGGAGACTCCATCTCTAAAAAAAATATTAAAAATTAGCCAGGCATGGTGGCACACTCCTGTGGTTCCAGCTACTCAAGAGGCTGAAGTGGGAAGATCGCCTCAGCCCAGGAGGTTGAGGCTGCAGTGAGCTGTGATTGTGCCACTGCACTCCAGAGCCCAGGCAACAGAGTGAGACCTTTTCTTATTAAACAACAACAACAACAACAAAAAAAAAAACTGCATTCCTATCCCCATTATTAACACAAGCAGAAAAACTAAAAGGATTCTTCTAAAGGACAACCTCAAGTACAAAAATGAACTACATTACTTACATAACGGATTATAAAGTCCTTGTAAGAACATTTGGTATTTCAAAGCTTTTTATCTGAGAAGTTCAAGTACTTTTTTCACCCTCTAAGTCAAAATAAATGGAGGAGTACTTTTTAACCACTATAATTTTATGGGTTCTGAGAGAAGCTACTCAAAATACTTGGGAATCCAAAACTTTACTAAAACTTGCAACCTGTATCATCAAGCAAAGGTCAGCATTCCACTGAGAGAAAAGCATGCCACAAACCATTCGTGAGTACCAACCCCTGACAGGCCCAAAGGACAAAGAAAATTGTCTGCTTTTTTATAAGCCCGTGTAACTCTTCTGCCAGTTCCGGCCAGGCGCGGCGGCTCCCGCCTGGAATCCCAGCACTTTGGGAGGCTGAGGCAGGTGGATCACGAGGTCAGGAGTTAGAGTCCAGCCTGGCCAACATGGTGAAACCCCGTCTCTACTAAAAATACAAAACTTAGCAGGGCATGGTGGCAGGTGCCTGTAATCTCAGCTATTCGGGAGGCTGAGGCAGGAGACTCGTTTGAACCCGGGTGGCGGAGGTTGCAGTGAGCCGAGATTGCGCCACTGCACTCCAGCCTGGGTGACAGTGTGAGACTCCATCTCAAAAACAAACAAACAAAAAAGAAAAATCTTCCGCCAGTTCCAAGCTGTGGGTGCTACTTCAGTCTAAAGTGGGCATACAAATTAATACTTTACCTACCAAAGGGCAGAAGACTGTTTTTTTTTTCTAATTCTAATGTCTACAATTTTATTTTCTTTCTTTCTTTTATGTAACAAATCATTTACAAGAAAGAATAAACCAAAATTAAGAGATGAAGAACAGCCGGGCGCGGTGGCTCACGCCTGTAATCCCAGCACTTTGGGAGGCCGAGGCGGGCGGATCACAAGGTCAGGAGATCGAGACCACGGTGAAACCCCGTCTCTACTAAAAATACAAAAAATTAGCCGGGCGCGGTTGTGGGCGCCTGTAGTCCCAGCTACTCGGGAGGCTGAGGCAGGAGAATGGCGTGAACCCGGGAGGCGGAGCTTGCAGTGACCCGAGATCGCGCCACTGCACTCCAGCCTGGGCGACAGAGCGAGACTCCGTCTCAAAAAAAAAAAAAAAAAAAGAGATGAAGAACAGTAATTGAACACACTGAAATTATTCACTAAATCAAGGAACAATTAGAACACAGCTATTTACTCCTGAAATCTTGATAATTTTATCAGCAGTGAGTCTCCTTTGTTATGGAGAGAAAACACAAGTGAAGTATGCTAATTGGGTATGCACTTCCGGGAAATATGTGCAACGACCATGGATATAAGAAAATGGCAAAACAAAGGCACAAATCTAACAAATCTCACTTGACTCTGCAGGAAGGAATGAAGCTTTACACACAACAGGAACAAACCTGTCTTGCCAGATTTAAGGCCAGAGGGCAAGAAATGCATTTTTAACTATCACAACAATAATACCTTTGGCATTCAGGAAGAGTTTATTGGTAAAAATTACAATTTCATAAAAATGAGTGTCTCTTCACTTATCTGTTAAGGTTCTGTTCCCAAATTATTCCCCAGGATATTAAGCTTTATAGGCTGGTTTTTCTGGGAAAATACAACAAATAATAAATTTCTAAGTTTCAAGAAGAATTTGAAGAACAATGCTGTTCCTAGTTCTCCTTAGAGATGATACAACTCATTTCTGCAGTGATTATAATACAGCAGGAAGAGAGAAAGCTGTTATAATTATTATAAAAATATGTACATATTAAGACATAAAAACTTGTTATGAAGAGAAGTTTAAAACTCACAAAAGTAATTTTCAAGGAACTCCCAACCTTCAGAAAAAGAGAAGACCTACAATCAGAGAGTCTCACAATTACAAAGGATTGTAAAATTCTTTAACCCAGAGTCTCCCAACTGTGACACTACCGATATTTTGAGGTGGAAAATTATTTGTTGTGTGTGTATGTGGGCTCTTGTGTAGGATGTTTAGCAGTCTCCCTGGCCTCTACCCACTAGATGCCACATTTGACCCTGTGGGTCAAAATCAGCCTCAATTTTGCTGATTGAGGCTAATCAGCAAAACCACTAATCTAACCCAATCACCAAGTGATTATTCAGTTTATTCTTTACAATTTCAAAACACAGGAATTCACTTTCACACCTGTTGTATTCCATTAGCTGTTACAATTATTTATTTTATTTTGTTTTGTTTTTTTGAGACATGGTCTTGCTGCAGTCTCCTACTCCTGGGCTCAAGCGATCCTCCCTCCTTAGCCTCCCAAGTGGCTGGGACTACAGGCACACGTCAGCTCATTTATTTTTAACCTTTTTACCACTCCCAGCACTGAAGTTAAAATACGTAGATACAGCTTTAACTTAACACCACACTATCTAAAATGGTACCTCTTTTTTTCTTTCTTTTTTTTTTTTTTGGAGATGGAGTCTCGCTCCATCTCCCAGGCTGAAGTACAGTGGCGCGATCTCTGCTCACTGCAACCTCTGCCTCCTGGGTTCAAGTGATTCTCCTACCTCAGCCTCCCAAGTAGCTGGGATTACAGGTGCGTGCTGCCATTCCCAGCTAATTTTTGTATTTTTAGTAGAGAGGGGGTTTTGTCATGTTGGCCCGGCTGGTCTGAAACTCCTGACCTCAGGTAATCCACCTGCCTCGGCCTCCCAAAGTGTTGGGATTACAAGTACGAGCCATCGCGCCCGGCCGGTGGTACCTCTTTCTAACACTCAGTACTCTATCCCCTCTTTGCTTAAATTTTGTCTGTAACCGTATCCTCTAACACACTATGTATTTTCCTTGTTTATTGTCTATCTTATAATATTAGATTGTAAGCTTCATGAGGACAGAGATTTTCATTTTTTATTTACTGCCATATCCTTAGCCATCTAGAACTGTGTTTAGCACATACTAGACACCCAATATATATTTGATGAACAAACCATGATGAATAAATGGCTTGTGGGAGAGGGTATATACTTTTTCTTTATTGTCCAAGGGAACTAGGCCAGGATCACAATATATTTACTTATCCTAAAGTATACAAAAAATCATTCTGGAATTGCTAACTCATACCTTTGTGGGGTGGTGGGAGAAAACATATGTACTAAGTTTCATCTTTGTTTCTAGTTGCTTTAAGAAGGTAGATTTAATATCAGTACAATAAATATTATTTTTATTTTTTAAAATAAATACTCAGCTGGGTGCAGTGGCTCATACCTGTAATCCCAGCACTTTGGAAGGTCGACGCAAGAGAATCGCTTGAGGCCAGGGGTTTGAAACCAGCCTGGGCAACACAGTAAGACCCCCATCTCTACAAAAAATAAAAAAAAAATTAGCTGGGTGTGGTGGCATACCTGTAGTCCTAGCTACTTGGGAGGCCAAGGCAGGGGGATCTCTGAAGCCCAGGAGTTGGAGGCTGCAGCAAACTGCACCATTGCACTCCAGCGCCTGGATGACAGAGCAAGACCCTGTCTCAACAACAACAACAACAACAAAAAAAAAAGAAAAGGAAAAAAAAAAACCTTGAAGGTTTTTCAGTATACAGTGAAGTATAACCTACCTGGATCTTGTGCCAATCATAGAGTTTCAGTTAATCACAGGCAGCCAACTGTTCAATTAAGGTAAACAAGTGGTAACTAATCTGGCTGTCTTTAAACCTCACTTCTGACTTCTATATGTCACTTTCCTGTTTCTGTCCATAAATATTCTACCATGTGACAGCTCCAGGGTCACTCTGACCTTCTGGTTCTGAGGGCTGCCCAATTTGTGAATTATTCTTTGCTTGATCAAACTCTGTAAGGCCAGGCATGGTGGCTCACGCCTATAATCCCAGCACTTTTTTCAGGTGATCCCCCGGCTGATGCGGGTGGATCACCTGAGGTCGGGAGTTTGAGATCAGCCTGGCCAATACAGTGAAACCCCGTCTCTACTAAAAATACAAAAAATTTCATTTTTTGGGCATGATGGCATGCGCCTGTAGTCCCAGCTACTTGGGAGGCTGAGACAGGAAAATGGCTTGAACCTGGGAGGCGGAGGTTGCAGTGAGCTGAGATCATGCCACCGCACCACTGCACTCCAGCCTGGGCGACAGGGTGAGACTCAGTCTCAAAACAAAAACAAAAACAAACTCTGTTAAACATAATTTGTCTAAAGTTTATCATTTAACAGTGGCCATTTAGGGAAAAACCTAAAAGGAGGTGAAGGAGTTAATCACATGGTTACCAGGCAGAGGTCACAGTAGGCACACAGGCAGACACATGCCAGGAGTGTTCAGGAAGGAGAAAAGAGGTCAGGGTGGCTGCAGCCGTGTAAGTAAAGAGAATAGGACGGCCAGGTTAAACACGCTTTGCAGGACAAGGTAAGGGCTTTGGCTTTTCCTCTGAGTGAGATGGTAAGCAACTGGACGGCTCTCAACAGAGAAATGACATGATCTCATTCACTTTTTAAAAATTTTTTCTAAGAGACAGGGTCTCACTCTGAATGACTCCTGAATAGCTAGGACTACAAGTGCATGCTACCATGCCCAGCTAATTGTTTTTTTTTTTTTTTTGTAGAAATGAGGTCTTGCTATGTTGCCCAGGCTGTCTCAAACTCCTGGCCTCAAGTGATTCTCTCACCTTAGCCTCCCAAACTGCTGGGATTACAGACATGAGCCACCGCACCCAGCCCTCATTAATGTTTTAACATGATCACACTGGCTGCCGTGCTGAACACAGACTGAAGGGGACTAAGGAGGAAGTGAGAGATCAGTTAGGAGGCTCTGACTGGGCGCACTGGCTCACGCCTGTGATCCCAGCACTGCGGGACGCCGAGGTGGGCAGATCACTTGAGGTCAGGAGTTCGAGACCAGCCTGGCCAACATGGTGAAACTCTGTCTCCACTAAAAATACAAAAATTAGCCAGGCGTGGTGGTGTGCGCCTGTAATTCCAGCTACTCAGGAGGCTGAGGCAGCAGAATCACTTGAGCCCGGGAGGCAGAGGTCGCAGTGAGTTGAGATCAGGCCACCACTGTGCTCCAGCCTGGGAGAGAGAGTGAGACTCCGTCTCAAAAAAATAAAATAAATAAAAACAAAACACTGAAATACTAGAAAACAGTGAATGAATAAATAATATGATTTTTCATCAGTGGTCATTCATTATTTTGCTTCTAGAAACCTGGAAGAAATTGTCTTGAGTTTCAAATGTTCTGGTAAATCTAGTCATTTCTTAGCTTCCTCAAAAATCACCTTGAATTGCTGAAATAAGTGACTCTAATGAATCAAAGTTCTTTTCTGGTCTGAGGTAGCCAACAATGGCCACACGCAGGATTTCCCCATAGAAATGCTCTTTGAAGGTATGCATGGTATGTGGTTCCATGGACTTCTTCGTATTTTCATAGTATGGGTTCCATCCTATGCTCACCACCATCTTCTGACCATCTCTACTTCCAACACTGGCCCAACCATAATAAACGCCACTGGATGTATCAGCTGGCAGATTATTTACCTTGTTTAGGAAAATTAGCTGTGGGGGGATGCCCAGCTGCTTGTAGCCACGGCTGAAGCCCCACACCACTTGGTCCCGGCAGGAGTAGGGTAGATGCCTCGTAATGCAGTCTGCTCGAGGCATGGGCTGTGGCCCGGTCCCTGCGTCCTAAGGAGCCGCCATCCACGCGGTGCCTGGACCCTGGACCAGCTGCGGGGTGGGAAGGGGCGTGAGCTCTGTCTGCCATGGGGGGGTTGGGGGGGGGCACCAGAAGCCAGGTGACACCGATGACACGCCACGGAGGATTCCTGATGTCGGCAACTCAGGAGCTGGGTCTCCCGACCATTTTCATTTTCTTTCCTCCTTCTCCCACCTTTTAAAATATTTTATTTGTTTGTTTGTTTGTTTATTTATTTAGAGATGGAGTTTCCCTCTTGTTGCCCAGGCTGGAGTGCAGTGGCATGATCTTGGCTTACTGCAACCTCCACCTCCCAGGTTCAAGCAATTCTCCTGCCTCAGTCTCCCAAGTAGCTGGAATTACAGGCACCTGCTACCACACCTGGCTAATTTTTTGTATTTTCAGTAGAGATGGGGTTTCACCAGGTTGGCTAGGCTGTTCTAGAACTCCTGACCTCAGGTGATCCACCTGCCTCAGTCTCTCAAAGTGCTGGGATTACAGGTGTGAGCCACCACGTCCGGTCCAAAATTTATTTTTTTATAGAGACGGGGTCTTGCTATGTTGCCCGGGCTGGTTTCAAACTCCTGGCTCAAATGAATCTCCTGCCTTGACCTCCCAAACTGCTGGGATTACAGGGGTGAGCCACCACACCTGGCCTTGGATCATTTTCTGACAAGGCAACAGATGATGCTCACAGTCAACACAGACCGGTAGGCTCTCCTATATGTCAACTGTAATCCTACCCTCTTCTCACACACTCAAGAAAACACCTCAGGCTGGGCGCAGTGGCTCACGCCTGTAATCCTAGCACTTTGGGAGGCCGAGGCGGGCAGATCACCTAAGGTCAGGAGTTTGAGACCAGCCTGGCCAACATGGTGAAACCCCGTCTTTACTAAAAATACAAAAAATTAGCTGGGCATGGTGGTGGGCGCCTGTAATCCTAGCTACTCAGGTGGCTGAGGCAGGAAAATCGCTTGAACCCAGGAGGTGGAGGTTGCAGCAATCCAAGGTCGTGCCACTGCACTCCAGCCTGGGAGACAGAGTGAGACACCATCTCAAAAAAAAAAAAGTGAAAGAGTGAACTTCAAAGTTAAAATACAACAATTAAGGTCAGTAGGCTATTTATTATACGTGTTACTTTGACTTTTTAAAATTGAGCCTGAAAAAAAAGAAAAAAGAAAAAAATTGTTCATGAGCCCTGAAAAAAAAATTTTAAGCAAGTGGAAAAAAGTAAAAAAAAGAAAGCTAACTGCCCTACTATACCAGTCCAGCTTGTTAGATATGGGGGAGTCTGCTGTAATCCTAAACTGCACAAAGAGCTAGAAAGGAGACGAACAGGACACAGAGAGTAACACAAGGGTGGTATATATCTGGTAGGTAATGGGATGGCAGACAGCAAATAAATAGCTTTGGACAATTTAAAAAGCAAAAGATTTCAACATATAGTCCATGAATTAGAAGTTTCATGGAAAGTTATATGAGTTGGTCCCTGTGAGTTATAATCTTTCAAATGCAAATACATATAAACTAATCTAAAGTGATTAAAATCAAGGTATTACAAATAACTGGTCTCAAGTACAGAAGATCCCACTAGATTGCCATTTGTTGTAATTTATGTAAAAAACAAGTCTTTTTCTGTATAGGAACTATTCTAATTTTTTTTCCCCAAGTGAACAAATCTCAAACTTGAGTTCTTTGAGTTGTGATACTCTTTGAAAACTACTCTCCTAGAAAGGCTGCAAAACTGCAAAGTGGGTTCATGAGGAAGACCTCAAAGGGAAGATCAGACTAGTGCAATAGTCCAGGTGAGCAATGATAAGGCTTGATTTGGGGAAATGGATATGGATATGGAGAAGAGGAAATGGATCCAAGAGATACTGAGGAGACAGACCAATGGTTCTGGATGGAAAAGCAGATGTGGAGTGGGTGAAGGCACGAAGAGCCTGTGATGACTCCTAGACTTCTATCCTGAGTTATTTATCCACAATTCAACCTCTCCCCCCTTCTCTCTAAGCACATGGCTGGTTCCTCTGGCCACCAGTGTCCATCCTGAAGCTATCTAGGAGCCATCCAATAGTAACCTTATTAACCTAAACTCAGGGATAGTTAAAAGGGGCTCATTAGGAATAACAAAAGATATTACCACTCAGGAAATTCCAATGGTTTTAGGAACTGTGCCAGGAACCAGGGACAAAGGCCACATGTATTTTTTATTATACCACATACAGAAATCCTATAACTTTAAAGCAAAAAAATCTAATAACCTGATTAAAAAATGGACAAAGAACCAGAACAGACATTTCTGCAAAGATAATATACAAATGGCCAACAAACATATGAAAAGATGTTCAACATCACTAATCATCAAAGAAATGCAAATCAAAGCCACAGTGAGATATCACCTCATACCCATTAGGATGGCTACTATCATAAAACAGAAAATAAGTGTTAGCGAGGATGTGGAAAAATGGGAACTTCTGTGTACTGTTGGTGGGATTATAAATGTTACAGTGTTATGGAAAACAGTATGGAGGTTCCCGAGAAAACTGAACAGAATTCCAAATGATCCAGCAATCCCATTTCTGGGTATATATCCAAAAGAATGGAAAGCAGGCTCTCAAATAGATAGCTACACACTCATTTTCATAGCACTACTCACAATAGTGAAAAGATGGAAGCAACTTAAGTGCCCATTAACAGATGAATGGATAAACAGAATGTGATCCATTATACACATATAATGGATTCAGTCATAAAAAAGTAAGGAAGTCATAGTACATGCTATATGGCATGGATGAAAGTCAAAGACATTATACTAAGTGAAATAAGCCAGTCACAAAAAAAACAAGTAGTATATGATTCGACTGGTATCAAGTATCTAAAGTAGTCAAATTCTTAGAAACTGAAAGTAGAATGGTGGTTACTAGGGGCTGAGGGAGAGGGAAAAGGGGAGTTTAATGAGAATAGAATCAGGTCTGCAATATGCAAAAGTACTGGAGATTTGTTTCACAACATTGTGAACATATTTAACACTACTGATCTTACACTTAAAATTATTAACATGGTAAATTTTATGTCACATGTTTTCTAACACATTAAAAAAAAAAAAAAAGACCAAGTTGGAAAACTGGCTATATTCTTTGTAAGCATTAGTTTGGGCTAAATAACCTCTTAGAGTATGTAAAACCACAAGGTAAATATAAAAACATTTTATACCCAGAAAACCTTGTTACCTGCAACAAACCCAACTACCAGATCTTTTCCAGTGGTAGAACGTTGACCTTTGACCCAGACTGCTTTGAGGCTATTAAAAGTGTAGAAATAGACAAAATTGGAGCAGCAGAGACTGGAAATCACTGGAAACCACCCTCGATATGGTGCCAGGCTAGGGGAAAAACACAATAAGCAAAGTAAAGGTCATGGACAAATTAGAAATTGGCAGAGAAATCCTAGGAAAGGCTGACCATCACTCACATGGTCTCAAGCTTCACTCCTACAAGAATACAAGCGACTCCAAACTGTACAAACACCTCACATTCTGAAGGATGTCCAAATCAAGGAATCTATTCTAGCACTAATGATACCAAAGAAACAACACAAAGTGTGACTGATTTATTAATTCCCTCCCTTAATTTTCTTTAGTAACAATGGTATATAAAATTAGAGACAACTTCCTTATGGCTGTTAGTTAATAGAGTACCATTCATGTTTTATGACAGGGCAAGAACAGTTAAAATGAAGTAATTATAGAAAATAAGTACTGGAAAAAGAAAAAAAGATGGAATTCATAAGGGCACAGGAGCTCACAGGATTTGGCTACAGGCCAAATCTGGGGCAATTTGAATACCAAAATAATTAAGTAATCAATTGTAAACCACTGAAAAATAGACATTTCTGAGTCTATACCAATAATAAGTAGATAAATAAATGAAGGAGAAGGGGAAGTCCTGCTTATAGCAGAATGCCAACACTGGTAAAATTGCCACTGTGGAGGCAATGCTGGAGTTGGAAAGTTGTCATTTTGCAACTTCGTGGTAAATTTAGCGGAGAAATGTTGACAAGGCGCAGGATATTTGTATTGTTTTAAAGTATCTCCACATAGACTGCTTACAGTTGCAAGAGAAGAAAAAAGTAATCGCACAGTGGCCAAATCAAATTTAAGAAATTATAATTAGCCAACCAAGGGCAGGCAGACAATATGTGAGTCAAGATGTGATACCTTGAGGACACAATATCACCTGTGCATTATTCAGGCCAAGAATGTACAACCTCAATGGAATCATGAGGAAATGTGAGGCAAACTTAAAATGAGAAACATTCTTTTTTTTTTTGAGACGGAGTCTCGCTCTGTCGCCCAGGCTGGAGTGCAGTGGCCGGATCTCAGCTCACTGCAAGCTCCGCCTCCTGGGTTCACGCCATTCTCCGGCCTCAGCCTCCCGAGTAGCTGGGACTACAGGCGCCCGCCACCTCGCCCAGCTATTTTTTGTATTTCTTAGTAGAGACGGGGTTTCACCATGTTAGCCAGGATGGTCTCGATCTCCTGACCTCGTGATCCGCCCATCTCGGCCTCCCAAAGTGCTGGGATTACAGGCTTGAGCCACCACGCCCGGCCAAATTGCCCAGGCTGGCGTACAATGGCGTGATCCTGGCTCACTGCAACCTCCACCTCCTAGGTTCAAGTGATTCTCCTGCCTCAGCCTCCACAGTAGCTGGGATTATAGGCATGCACCACCATGCCCAGTAGTAGCGATGGGGTTTCTCCATGTTGGTCAGGCTGTCTCTAACTCCTGACCTCAGGTGATTCGCCTGCCTTGGCCTCCCAAAACGCTAGGATTACAGGCGGACTGTATTCTTTAAAAGTGTCAACATCATGGGGCTAAAGGCTTTGATGTATGTAACTTACTCTCAAATAATTCAGAGAAAATTTGTGTGTGGTGTGAGTAAGGAGAAAAGAGAGGTGGGAGAGAGAGAGCATGAGCAAAAATGGTAAAACAAAAAGGAAAAGATGTTAACAGATGAATCTGGGTAAAGCATATACTTGTCTTCTTTGTACTAAGTTTAGTTTTGCAAATTTTTGTAAATTTAAAATTATTTCCAATAAAAAGCTAAAAAAAAGAAGTACATCATCTGTCTTAATGCACCTGACAGGAATGAACTAAACAACTATTATATTTTTTTCTGTTTACTGTATATAA